GATCTTTATAGAATCGATTTATGCATTTGATCATGTGATAATCTTTAGCAAAGTTGTTGTGCATAAGTACACGAATGTTTATATTTGATTTTCATACCCCTAAGGGGTAAGGGTGGTTCACCCCAAACATTTTTTTTATTTTTATATTTGTATGATTTTATGAAGTGGCATTAAAGATACATATAACCCCTTAATTTTCACCCTTGTATCACCAGCCTCTATTGTTTAACCCTCGAGCGGACACGCCTATAATTATCGCGTGAGTGGACGCGTGGTGCAAATATGCTACCAGCAGCAAATTAAAGTTCTAGAACTGTTTAAATTGCTTATAAGTAAATAAATTTTTAGGAAATTGTTGAAATAAACAAACACTGTTAACATAAAAAGTTAGTCACTTTCATCAGTTTCCACTAAATTGGTTTTACATCGGTGACAGGTAATCGTAGTTTCACTGTGCTCTTGACAAAATTATCTCATTTGTCACACAATTGTGACGTAAATTTATTGTCCCCCACATATGGCTCAACGTCCCTGCTTTTTTCTTGGTACATCATGTTTTTGTGCCTCTTCCTCTCCTTCCAGGTTTGTAAGTCGTTAAAAATAACTGAATATCTGAAGGTAACGACGACATTTTAGACCTTTTCTCTAAGTGAGATTTCATAAGTTGAAATGATAAATTTTTAAGAATAATTCTTCTTGGCCTCTTTGCGTTGTTTTGGTTACTGTTATATAAAATCTGGGTATTTATTCCAGCAACATTGAAAAGAGCATATGTATATATGTATGAGCAAATAATGCCAAGGGCCACCTTCTGGTGTTTCGCGAAACAGAATATTCCCCACATAATTGGTCGACTGTATCGACGCCGCCCTTGGTCTTATTGTAGTCAAGAATTATCTCGGGCTTTCCAATTTTTTCGTCAATTTTTCCATCATCATGCATAGTAGAAAGTAATACTACAGATTTTGACTTTTTCGGAACGAAAGACACCATACACACCTCTTTTTGGAAACCATGGCACGAAGATCCAATTGCACGATCTTTGTGGGGCAAAAACTCAGGAGGTATTTCTGATTTATTTTTTCGCAGAGTACCAAAGTTTGTAACTTTTTGTTACAAAAGTGAACATGCCAAAGGATTGCTGGTGTACCAATTATCAGTGGTCAGATTTCTATTAGTACCTTTTATATGCGCAACTAGTCTGTTTACTATATCAGATGGAGAGTTAGATTTACATTAGGGTCCCTAAGGCTGTTTTCCACAGTAAACTTCAAAAGCACTGGTATAATAAGTTTCGGCATCGTAAAGCACAAAAATTTTTAAAACATTTGGCCGGTTTATTCGGGATATATTGGATAAAGCTGCATCGTCCTCTAAAAGGTTCCAGTTTTTCATCTATGGTTACATAGAAACTGCGATTATAATATTTCTTACAGTTGTCTTGAAACTTCTCTAAAAATACTCTAATTACCGCCAATTTATCAAATTTTTTACGTTGTTCTCGTGTTTCTTTATTCAAACTTTATACATCGCAGCAATAATTGAAACCGCCTATATCTCATGCAGGCCCTCAAAATTGGCAAACCTGTTCCGTCATTTGTCCACAGTTCTTGGACATTAGTCCGACTTCCTTTTTTAGTACCAATTAGAAACAATAATCCAAACAAAGCCATTATTTGAGATTTACTTGTAACTTTAACTGCTCTTTCTATGCTCTAATTAACCCCCTTTCTCTTTTTTTCAATATACCGATTTGTGAAATGCATCATCATCATCATCATCATCTTGGTGCTACAGCCCTTAGAGGGCCTCGACCTTCTCAAGCTTTCTACGCCATTCTGTTCTGTCCCTTGCTTGAATTTTCCAGTTGCCGACTCCGATCTTCTCCGCATCTTGTGTTACCCCATCCATCCACCTCAGCTTTGGTCTACCCCGTCGTCTCATTCCCACAGGTTGCGCTGTTAGAATCTTTTTTATCATTTTTGAAATGCACGATATCATTTATAATGCTATCATCAATTAATTTCAAAAAGCCTCAATCTCGGTGGGAACGTTTTTTGCAGTCCCTTTCGGACCAGGATCCGTTTTTAAAAGATTTTTTGAACTGGTCTTGGAAGTTTGTGAATGGTAACTAGTTTTTCTCCATTTGGTTTTCTTGTTTCTGCCGGTATAAAAGTTATTACCGATTTCGCCAGGCAGACTTCCAGAATCTACTTCCTTATCAGAACCGGAATCACTAGCATAAACAGCCTTATTTTCTTCAATGTCTTCCAACTCTATCTCTGAACCTGAATTATGGTCTTCTTTCGTTACAATCTCTCCGTCTTCTTCGCTCCATTCTCCGTCATCTGAGTAATTAATTTCTTCTATATCAGACATATCTTCTAAAAATTTTCGAAGCTCTTCCTCCGTAAGTCCTTTTGCCATAAAATAGAGTAAAATGTAAGTTTTGGCAACGCTGTAATACAAAGAAACTGATAAACGGCATTTTTTAGCAATCTAAAATTAATAGTAGCAGAAAAAATATAAAGAAAAAAATAAAAATTTTTATATTTTTTGATTGATAAAACCTTGTATATGGATCAGAGACATGGACACTATCGAAAAGCGATGAGAACCTATTAGGTACATTTGAACCAAAAATCCTTAGACACATATATAAGGGGTAAAGGAAAATGAGATATGGCGCAGAAGATATAACTTTGAACTATACACAGCATACAATGAACCAGAGATCATAACATCCATAAAGATCGGACGTCTGCGCTGGATGGGCCATGTTGAACGGATGTTGGAGACTGAAATGCCAAAACATATAATGAGGCAAACACCAGTAGGGATAAGGTCAAAGGGAAGACCCAAACTTAGATACATGGAACAAGTGGAACAAGATCTGAAAAAATTTAAGATTACCAACTGGAAAAACAAAGCAAGGAACAGAACAGAATGTCGGAAAATCCTAGAACAAGCCAGGACCCAGAAAGGGTTGTCGAACTACTGATGATGATAATGAAGATATAATTTATGATAATAATAAATAATGTGGGACTCATAACTGATTCCTGTCAGATACCATTTTCTAATTGTACTTTTGATGACAAACTTCCATTTACTTGAACTTGAATGTATCTTGTATGTAAGAAGTTTTTATAACTCCAAGGCAGTGATCTCTAATTCCACTCTAATTGTACAGTAATCTGATTATTCGGTGTAGCCAAGCTGTGCCAAAGACTCATTTTAATATTGAAGAATAATCAAATGCATAACACTAGTGCCTCACTTCGTCTCTGTTGTTTCTAATATTCTTTTTGTCCTCTCTGTGTCAAGTCGTGTTTCTGCTGCATATGTCATTATTGGTCTGATGATTGTTTTGTAAATTCTGCCTTTCATTTCTTTCCCGATATTTTTATTTCCCCATACTGTGAACAACCTGCGGCTTTGTTTGCTCTATTCACTTCCACTTCCACTTGTCCTTCCACATGTTCTCCATCACTTGTTCTTTTATCTGACCTTCCAGCTCCAATTTACATCTTAGTAAATTTGCTGTTATAACCATGCATTTTGACTTTTTTGGGGAAATGTTAAATTTTCTGGCGGTTCTATTAAATTGGTGCAGCAAATCATCTTCACCTTGAGAGAGTAGTATTGCCTGGTCTGCATAGCAGATTCTTTTAAGTTGTTTTATCCATAATAAGGTTGAACAATAGAGGAATCTCCCTGTCCTCCAGCATCAATAGGGTCAGTTATTTCGTCTACTTTTACTTTTATTGTGTTGTAGTGGTGGATATTTTCGATTGTTTTGATTATTCCTAAAGGTGTCTCTCTTGCGTACAATAAGTGTATAACGTCCTTAAATTTGACCCGATCAAATGCCATCTTAAGGTCCACGAAACATAGATATGTCGGTTTGTTGTATTCTAATGATTTCTCTTGCACTTGCTTCATTATAAATATAGCGTCGGTGTATGATCTTCCCGACCAAAAACCTTGTTGTAATTCTGCTGGTGTTATAATTTCATTCAGATTATTTGCTATCACTTTGGCTGCTAATTTTAGTGTTATGTTTAATAAATTAAATTCTCTGTAATTTTCCGGGTGCGATTTGTCTAGCTTTTTGAAGAGATATCTCAATATTTATTTTTTTGTTTGCTGTCACCTCTGGTGTTGGGGGTTCATTATCATCACCTGTAGCAAATAGGGATCGAAAGTAGTGTGTCCATGTTTACTTCAGAACGTATTTTGCTTTTATTAGTTCATAACCACATAATCATAGCCACTCTAAGCAAAGTTGTTTTGAGCTGCAACCATGCCATTCTCTTACCTTCACCCGAGATATTTGTCGTCTTCTGACACTCCTTCTGCTGTCAATTTTGCATTGGATTATGAAATTCAAGATGCCGTATTTTTCTCCATGCATTATATGACGAGATATTGAAGTTTGATTGTCCTCTTAACACTTCTTTTTTTTTTCTTCATTCTTTTTAATACTTTAACGTTCTTAACATGATCCACCCATGAGATCTTCAAGTCCACATCTCTTCTTATCGCCTCTCAATTAAGCCACCATTTGATTTCATATTACAGGACACTGTATACGTAACATTAAGTCAATCGTATTTTTAGGGCTAATGTCAAATCTCTACTACAAAGGACGTTTTTCAGTGCACTGCAGTATAGCAGTTATTTTCTGTTATTATTGTTACCCATTACATATACTTCTGTACTCTTTCGATATGTTGGCCTGCTACCAGTAGGGTTTCGTTGGTATGGTTGTTAGTACTAATTTTCCTGAATTTGGTTTTTTAACGTTGTGGGAGAATCCGTATTCTTCATTGCACCGAATATTTTATTTATCATTCTTTCTAAATTTTTTAAATTATCAGCGTGTTTCTATAAAATATATTATAATGTGTTTCTATAATTAGGTCATTGGTTTCTTATTACATTATATAAAGAATCAGTTATTTTAAAGACCATTTAAAATACTTTGTTATAGGCCAGAAGCTCGACCTGTCCAAAGCGTTGCCAGTGTTATTAGGGTGTCACCAAATCCAAGACAATGGATACCGGAACAACCGAGTGTCATTCTACAACATGCTCTTACTAGCCCGCCTAGCCAACATGTCGAAGCAGAAAATAATCAAGTAACCCAAGGTAATTATGTGTACTTATGTTCTACTTTTAATTATTTTGTAACCAAAAAGACGTTACAAATATTTTGATATAAATATATATAATGGATATATTTAATGAAGAAATTAATTATAGGTGGCCTTTATTATGTTGTTCCGCCAAAACATGACAACAAAAATATGATGATTGTCAAAAATGAAACAGAGAATGATCCAAAGGAACCTAAGTCATTTCCTAGACAGGTATGAGATGATTTGTTATTAGAATATTCTTTAGTGAATTGATATTTTGATATAAAATATTTTAGGTGATTCAGAGCGACCATTTGCATTCGACGCAGTTGATACGCGTCAATCCAAGTAATAATTATGCCAACATGAATAACATACAGACACATTCCAACGGTCCCGGGATAATTGCACCGAATTCTATCAATCCAGGACTTCCAGTAATTGTTAATCCAACACAACTTGTACCAGTCCTACCGTCTACATCTCAGTCTGTCGTAAAAAGAGTTGTTCCCACTGTCAATATTCAGCCTAATCCACCGCCTGTGATCGTTAAAACTGAACAAGGTAACAATTATTTACATTAAAAATGATCCTTTATTTAAATTAAAAATGGGACAGAACCTAAAATTATTAATTTGATGTTTTATGTTGTATTTAGTGTCGCCAAACACAAACGCTGCCTTGAATCATCTAAAGGAACCGATGGTTTTGCACAATCCGCTACAAGTACAAAGTCATCGAGTTGCTGCTGTTCCTCCTCAACTTCCACTCTCTCAACTAAACCAGGGTCAAAACAGATCTATTAACATTAATGTTAATCCATGGCATTCAATATTACCACTTCTTGTCTCATCTGGATCTGCTTCACCACCAAACTCTCAGTTATCGCCACCTTTATCTACGTCGTTAGTTACTGTTGATGGTGGAACGGTTTTGGACAATCAAGACGACGATGCTGATGCAGAACCACTGCCAACACCAACAGAAGATGACGACGATGACGTTTTTGAAAGTGAAACTACTGACTTAAATATGGATGGGAATATTAAGAGAAGAAGTCAGTCTTTGAGCTCTTTACAAAGTAACTCCAAAGAGGCAACTAAGGTAAGGCAAATATTCGGTGTAGGAACTAATTCTCAATGCTTAATTAAATATTCTCGCAGAGTAAGGAGCGCATAAGAAGACCCATGAATGCTTTCATGATATTTTCAAAACGCCACAGAGGTCTTGTACACCAGAGGCACCCAAATCAAGACAATCGAACAGTTTCCAAAATTTTAGGCGAATGGTGGTATGCATTAGGTCCAAATGAAAAGAAGCAGTATCACGAATTAGCCTCTGAAGTTAAAGAGGCTCATTTTAAGGCTCATCCTGAATGGAAATGGTAAGTAATATTCTCTAGTATTAATTTTTGATCTCTCAAATTTTTGTTTTCGGAATCCGTCATCATTCCAAGGTGGCTATAAAACTGTTTACAAATCATTATCCTTGTATGATTTTTTTTTTCAAGAAAAAAGGCATGATTCACGTTCCTGGCAGCTCTATTCCCCGTGCGATTTCTATAAGCAGGATTTAGCGCAAGCATGCATCGTGAAATAAAATTTCTTTGGTGGTGAATATTGCCTTTAGACCAATAGTTTTTAAATAACTGTTTCTAGCTGGCACATTTTTATATCTTTTAGATATAACATAGTCCTGGCCAGTGTTTCTTAACGTCTTGGTAAAATTCATTTTCCATTCTTGAGGGTTTGCTTTCTTTTTCGCGATTTTTTTGGACAATTTTCACTATCATTTACCTTTTTTGATACCCTATTTTCAATGCAGCTGGAGGAAGAGGAAGATCTGGTTGAATATAAAGATGACCTACTGTCAGAGTAGTTTGGATCACCCCCAGAATCCTCAAACTCACTCAATGGCGAATCAGAACTATCACTGCTATTATCTGTAGAATAAAATGGCAGGTTTATTAAACATTTTATGTCCAATATATTAACTATCTACCTTCTACCTTTTGTAGAAGTTACTACTTCTTTGTTACTCTCCAAGTGATGTCCGTCAATATTTCCATCTTTGGTTTTTGTGTATCTGAAAATAATAAAACCTAATATAAAGGATTCAATTTTTCTATTATAGTAACTATCAAAAACAAAAGGTCTTACTTTGAATGTGGATGTACGTGAAGTTATTTTATTATTAATTTCTTGTATGTTCTCAGATTCATTTTTAGCCAAACAAGTTGTATCAGATTCATTAACTGTATTTTTCGTGTCGTAAACTTTCCATTTCCTAGTTTGGTTTACTTTTTCAAATCTAAAAATTATATAGTTATATTAGTACAGATTATTTTATACTACAAATATCTTAAATCTGCTTACCTCAGTCCAATACTTGCTGAAGCTAGTCCTTCTGTATAAGTATTGGCTAAATCTTGGTACAGACCCGGTGACCCCTTGATTTTGACTGATCTACCACTTCTTTTGGCACGTACAAGTTTTCACTAGAACCATAAGTTATGCTCTTCAGTCCAATGTACTGCCACGTGTCTAGTGATATCAGTTTTGTTTCGGACTCAGGAAAGTGCACAGAAAGTGCAAAGAAGAGTCTCTGAAAAAATCTTTGAGACTCTTCACCTGCAGCTAATGCTAAGCTAATTACAACTGTGACCCAAAATTCAGTTAACGACCAAACGTAGTCTTCAGCATAAACTGTTTTACCACTAACTTGATTGCCAGTATCGTTAGCCAATTCTAGGATTTGAAGTCAATAAATCAAAATTTGTCTTATAGTAAATCTATTTTCATCCATATTGCCCTATGATGTCGCGTATGTAACTATACGTTCATTAATAATTAAGATACTGTATAGTGCCTTTTTGGTAGTCGCCTTGTTTGTTTTTTCTATCCTAATATAATCTCTATCTCCTCTACTTTCACTTCAAAAACAGGGAGGACTTCAAGAGCCCATAGTCGCTTTAATTCTTATCTTTTATCTTCGCTATATGGTTCTTATTTCTTTCTATTTTTCCTTTTTGCTTATCATCTCTTTTTTTTTTTTATTCATAGAGATTCTACTCTATTTATAAAGTGACGAAGAAATATTGAAATATTTTTTTACCGTTGATAACTGAAGTTGTAATGTTTTGCAGTGTAATAACGTGATTTTTTGTTTTAAGGTGCAATAAAGATCGAAGAAAATCTTCAACTGGATCTGGACGTAGCAAATTAAGTTCAGCGGGAGACAGTGGTGAACCAGGTGATATGCCAGTGAGTCCAAAAGTGCCATCTCCTCCTCCGCTTAATATTGAACCTTCCAAGCAAGTGGTACAGGAACAAGAGGCAGGAGATGCTTCAGATGATGATCAAATGGTAATTTGTGAAGATGCAGGAGCTGAAATTGATTTAAAATGTAAGGAGAAGGTTACTGATTCAGATTCAGAATCTCAAAGTGATATGGACTCGTCTATAGAAAACCGTGTTTTCCAAAGATTTAGTCCTATGACTAATTCAAATTGTTCAGAAGTTACGTGTAGACCTAAGCCAATAAAAGCAAGAATACCGTCAACGGAAACACCAAAGTATAGTCTTGCAGCAACTGCAACACCTTTCCATTACTCCCCTGTTAACCCATCGGGTATATCAGGATTTCAGCCTACTGGAGGAGCCTTCAAAACAATGCCAGCTTCACCAAAAATTATTAAATCGGAAGTTAAAAATGAGTTTAGTGAAAACCATGAAAACTATGCAGGTACATTGATCATTAACTCAACTGACGCTTCAAAATGGTCTAATTCATCAGCCATACAAACTAGCACTCTTACTAGCCAAACTAACTCTACATTAGTCATACCAAAATCAGAGGTCAAAACAAATATTATACAATCAAACGATGGTATTAATCAGACTTATCAGTCACAACCTTTAACTGTTGTTATAGGCAGGCCAACAAATACCATTTGTTTATCCAATGAACATGAACAAACTCAACCTTTTGTTGTGATAGCTTCCACAGCATCTGAAATTCCTGTCCAGCTTTATGTGCAACCTTCTTTCGGAATACCTGTTTCAAACTCCAACAACCGAAATTTGTCGGTGCAAAACGTCCAACTGCTAAAGCCTAATACACAGTCTGTCATTGTTACACAAGCACACAACAAAGTCTGTGTATCTTCTCAAGTTGAGTACCAAGCGGCACAAAGTACTGTGATGGCGTCAAATAAAAACTCCTATTGCAATAATACGGGTAAGTTGACATTAATATTTTTAATAAGCTATTAGTTGAACATTATTTTCTCACTATTCGAAAATAGAATCTTTCGGCTGATACTGTATGCTGTTCACAACACACGCGTTTCATTAAATGTCAAAATTTAACTTTTTGTTGTGAATAGTTAATAATTGTAATGAATACTTCGTCAATAATGCGAAATTTTGTTGGAATTAGTTGAAAAAGTGTATAAAAGTTCAAATTTGGAGGTTTTTGTGCAAATTAGTAAGTGCAAAAAGTAAAAAAACCTTACAAAATAATTGTAATATCGGAAATTTTTACCTAAAAGGCTAAAAAAATAAGAAATTGTTTTAATCATAAGAAAACTAAGCTAAAATAAACGGGATGTGACAGTCTGGGATTGACCGAGGACCAGAAGCACAGCTTTCTTATCGTCTACGCACGGAGCGGTGATTTTTAATTTAATTTATTTTTATTTCAGTTTATTTATTTAAATTTATTTTATTTTAATTTATTATATATTTTATATTGTTTTATTTTAATTTATTTTAAGAAACTCACCTAAGACTTCATTTACTACTCCACGTGGTGTGTTGTCGCGCGATTTGCCGTTTCATTGTGTTTCGCCGCGTGTCTGTTGGTTTTATTTTTTTATACCTCTGCGCAATCCACCGCACCGACCAATACGGCCTTTTTTCGGTGCCCCATTTCTTTCTAATACTGTGTATAGTATTTATAAAGTCAGTTGAAACACGCAAAAAACTGGTTGCCAACAAACATTAAAAAAATAATATCATATTACGAGACATGGGCGCATCATTTATTTTTATATTCAAATATAGATTAATGAAGAACAGAAAAAGGACAATTTTAATTTACTTAAAGCTGTCGTAAAGTACATAAGTGTATAAAAATTCTTAACTGGTCATATTTAGCAACAAAAATAATTTATAATTAAACGGCAATAGGCCAAGTAATACACAAATGGGATTTAGGAAAGGACTGGGAACACGAGATGCACTGTTTGTAGTAAGTGTTCTTTTGCAGAGATGCTTAGATATACATCAGCAAGTATATGCCTGTTTCATTGATTTTGAGAAGGCATTTGACAGAGTGCAGCATAATCGGCTTAAAGAAGTTTTATTAAATAAAAACATAGACAGTAGAGACATTAGAATCATATGTAATCTCTATTGGAAACAGCAAAAGTGAAAGTTGAAAATGAACTGACCGAGGATATCCAGATTCGCCGTGGGGTCCGCCAAGGCTGTATTTTATCACCCTTGTTATTCAATTTATACAGTGAAGTCATCTCAGAATTAGCGCTTGCCGAGGTCAGTGAGGGCCTTATAATAAACGGTGAGCCACTTAATAACATAAGATATGCTGACGACACCCTCCTTCTGGCAGGAACACTAGAAGAACTGCAACACCTTGCTGAACAACTAAATATATTTTGCAACGATTATGGACTAAAAATAATTTTGAAGAAAACCAAATTCATGGTATTTACAAAAGCACAAAACATCAAAGTTAAGCTAGTACTAGATAATACAGAAATTGAACAAATATCTTCGTACAAATACCTTGGAGCATGGATCACAGACAAAAGAAATAAGATGCCGCATTGAAATTGCACGGTCAACTGTTAACAGAACGAGACAACTTTTTTCTAATCGCGATATCAATATATCGCTCCGGATAAGAATGCTTCGATGTTATATTTTTTCTACCCTTTTGTATGGGGTTGAAGCTTGGACACTCAAAAAATATAACATTAAAAACCTATAAGCATTCGAAATGTGGTGTTACCGACGTATTTTGAAAATATCTTGGATGGATCGCAAAGCAAACGAATAAGTTCTCGAACAACTAGGAAAACAATGCGAAGTTTTAAATTCCATAAAAATCAGGAAATTGGAATACTTGGGGCACATCATGAGAGGTGAAAAATACGAACTACTAAGGAATATAATGCAGGGTAAAATCAAAGGCAGAAGAAGCGTAGGAAGACGTAAAATCTCGTGGCTACGCAATCTCCGTGAATGGTTTGAATGCAGTTCAATTGAACTATTCAGGCGCGTAACCAACAAAATTATAATTGCCAGAATGATTTCCAATCTCCGATAGGAGCGGAACTTGAAGAAGAAAGAATATATAAGAAGTTATTATAAAATAATACTTAGTAAAATAATAATAAACATTTTAGCTGTACGGTACTGGCATGAGTCAACAGCGTTTCATATCTGTACACCATTGCCGCCGGCTGGAAGCAACCTACAAGTAGCGTGTTAAATATTGGTGATTTTGAATAACATATCAATATCCAACATTTATTTGATGTGATGTATCTTTTATTCTCTCTTTCTTCCATCTATTTCCTACGAAGTACGAGGATTGTTCAAATACGTTTTAAACATTGACGCTTGTTATTTATATTTTAACTTGATTACGGGTAAATGTAATATTGAACTGTCCCTATAAATCGAGTCGGAGAGAAATGTTTCAACTGACTTTATAAATACTATACTAGATACCGTGTACTAGATATCGACAAAGAAAAAATATATGTCTGGAAATATTTGTCACACCATCAGAATAAACCACACAAAATGGGTTATGCGGATGGATGAAACTGAAGCTGCTAAAATAACCATGCTAAATAGACCTGTCGGAAGAAGAAGAACGGGGCAACCTAAACTCAGACATCTGGACGATTATGTGTAGGACGATTTAATGAATATTGGAGTAAGCGAATGGAGACAGATACTGGACAGGGACGGATGGAAGAATGTTTTGAGGCAGGCCAGGGCTCACAAAGGGCTGTAGCGCCAACTGATGATGAATATTTCTCAAAGCTAGCTCATATATTCAGATAGAAAATTTATGTACAGATATTTAATCTGTTGACATTACTGTTAAGCATACAATACGTCAGTATTGTATGCTTAACAAATTTAATAAGGCAAATATTCGAATTAGAATAGTCTTTCTCCTTTATCTTCTAGTCTTCTTCTAGTTTCAATATGTCTACCAGCAGAAAAATTTCTCCTTATTCTGCGTGTTTATTCGTTTTAGTTTTTTTTTCTACTTGTACCTCTTTTGCTGATGGTATATTATGTGTTCTTCATTTTTTTTTATTCTTTGCGTTTCTATTATTATTTTTTTAGCTCCTTTGGAAATATTTTTAGTTCATCTGCTAAACTCCCCAAATGTAACCATTAATTATTTCTATAAAAATTTGTATCTCTTTGATGCCCCCTTGTTTTTAACTTCTTTATTTCTAAAATTTTCTCTCATTATTTCTAGTCGTTTTTCCAGTTTTGTCCAGTTTTTTTGTTTTATTCCTTTTTTTCCTAATTTTCTATTTCCTATTTCCTTACTGCCAAAAATCAGATTGGTGCAAGTGATCCCTGACAGAATAACTACTGAAAATGCTCTCTACCTTTTAAATGGGATTATATGTTCTACGACGCATGTTCCGAATATCCTGAACCGATTACGTATCCTTTTAGGATGAAATACGTATAAGCGAATATACAGAGGCACTATACATGAAATCAAATCTTAACTGTCTTTCCTTTTATTTCGATATACTCTTTATGAGTACTAAAAACCAATTCTCTAATTACATCTTTGTCAACATCTGTTTTGCCTTACAATTCTTAGAAGGCATAGATTAAAGCAAAAATCTGAATTTGGTTTCGACAATTAGAAATCTTCGGATTTCGAGTTTCGTGATTTTTTATCAGATGTCGCTATTGCGTCCATACCGAAGCCATTTTAGCGTTGCTTCCTTTCCGACAGGAAATATTGTTTTCACGTTTAGAGCATCTGTAAATAGTCGCTCCGAAGATTCCTTTTGGGATGAAATATGTGAATATACAGAGGCAATATACTTAAAATCAAATCTTAACTGTCTTTCCTTTTATTTCGATAAACTCTTTATGAGTACTAGAAACCAATTCGCCAAGGATTTTTGCTTAATTCAGGAGATATATTGTGGAATGCAATTTTAGATTCCCCATTTCTCTAATTACATCTTTATCAACGTCTGTTTTGCCTTGCAATTCTTAGAAGGTACAGATTAAAGCAAAAATCTGAATAAGTTTTTTTTAACAAGAAATTACTTTTACAGTGAGGAAGAGAAAGCTGGAATACCTTGAGCATCTGATAAGATATAATAAATATCGCCTCCAGATATTAATTTTTTTCAATCATATAAGCGGTTTGTCAAAAAATATGAATTTTATGTAAGAGTCACCATATCCATAATTCATATTTTTTGAAAAACCGCGTAGGTTCTCCCTGTGCCGGTTTTTGGTCTCCGACTTCCATGTATTATGTTTTGTTATTTCTACTATCATGATATGAGGAGTACTTTATGAGGCTTTAAGGTAGAGGTTCCCCGATGTCTTTTGCATACATATGCCGTTTGTTATTTGTTGATTCCTTCGCCTTTGGAGTCTTTTCTCGACCCAGGACAAAAGATCGCCTTGCCACTTACCAGCCCTTATATTAGAGGATAGGCAATCACCCTGTAATCTCGCTATATCTGGGTACTCTCACTTAGTTAAGCCTTCAGGCCAATGCAGTTGCCCTGGGTGTGGCAAATGGAGCCATAAGTAAGAGTTGTGTGATGTTCCGATAGAAAGGTACGACCTCTATAACATACCAGTACACTTCCTATTTACTATATTAACCTAACCAAACCTCACCGAATCATTTAATCTCAATCGCTTTACTGTCGCTAGCTTAACTAAATCTTAACAGGTCCGCCTTGTCACCTAACCTCTACGTAAAGTTTTATTCTACAGCAAAAGTGTATATTATATTTTGTATAAAAATTGTTATGTGGCACTAAATATGCATATTTGTTAAAAGTATATTGTTTGTGCAAAAATATTACTATAATTTTTGTAAAATTCTTATATATATTATTAATAATATATTTTGTATAACTAATAATAATCTTTATGGATCATATATCAGTGCAATCCTCCTTTTTAAATAGAAAATACATAGCATCTTTCAAACTTTTCAGGGTTGTCCAAATTCGATGAGTTATTTAAGGCCCTGAATTTTTTAAATGTGCTTATTGCCTGTTCAGTTCGACATCTATTTTGAAGGACCGATCTAAATTTTGGATGGTTCAACATCCAAGGTATATATTTGAATCGTACTCCTTCCAGTGTTTGTTGATTTAATACCAGGTGGGTTGGACCGATATATATTTAGTTTTTTGGATAGGTATCGTCAGTCCCCAATTTCTGTATTCTATGTCAACTCTGTTGATTAGTTCGCGCAGATCGACGATGTTTTCAGTTAGAATCACAGTATCGTCGGCGTATCGTATATTGTTAATTATTTCTCCTATGATAATTTCCTTTTTGATTTTTTAAACGGCTTTTGACGGTGGGCAAGAGTACTCATATACAGCCCTGTCTTACGCCTCATTCAATACTAATTGGCTTCAAATCAGCCATGGCATTTTCATAATATTAACATTAACGTCGTAGGGCCTGGTACATATTGCATTCAGCTCAGTCCCAGCGCACGCCGAGGCTAGGCGTAGGACGTTTTGTGAAGCATGCGTATTCATGAGCTGGACGTATAGTGCAACAGGAAGTAAAATAATACCTTGTTTTTTACAGTCGCCTCCAGGCAAATGACAGTGATCTTGAATAATGCTTTGCCATTTTTTAAATTTTGTAGTTTGCTCATTGACTTTAAATTTGACTAAACCAGTGGTATAATACTTCAGTTTGAATATTTTATTTTAATCTTTATTTCTAAGTATTTCAATTCCATATTTCAATTTCTTCTTTTTTTCTATAGTATTAGTGGTAGGGTTAGACCCTTTTTAGTGTAGACAACCAACCACTCTCTAGTAGATTGTTTTAGTATAGTAAACTTGTATTCACAATCTGTGTCCACTATATTTGCCCCCAAACTAACACATGTTATTGATGACAAGCTTGAGTGTGAGATCTGGATTATACAGTCTTCATCTAGTAATTAACACAACTTTATAATTTCATATTTCATCTGGTCGGTTGTACTTGCGGTCAATGTTAAGCTTACTATATAGTTTTTGAATATGCACTTTAATGGTAACTGTCCATAATTCTAGACGAAGTCATCTTATTTGTCCTATGTCAGATATCACTTTTGAACATTTCCGTTAAATCTGAACCACCAGGAGCCATTCTGTCTTTTCCATTGCCCATAATGTAGCATCGTAAACTTATTTTAAACTTTTTTATTTATTAAAAATGATTTACACTTCCACAAAATTTGTTATAATTTATTATTGCTTCAGCTGTTTCGGCAGGGTGCCTTTCTAAAGTGATCTATTTTTGGTATTCGTTTACACTTCAGACTTTAACTAAATAAGGTGACGAGGGGAGAATAGTTTGTCTCAAGTTGGCCATTCAGAATTATGTCTGTATTTCTTAATTTGTTACTTTCGATAGATTCTAATAAATATAGCTTGAGGCATTTATTTTGAATATGAAGAATTTGAAATTGGTCAATAAAAGAATAATTATGATCTAGAAAGGAAAGTGCGTATGTAGAATCTGTTTTTATATTGTTGAAATCCCTTTTGTCTTCTGCTATACGTTTGTTAAAAGTTCTACCAGTTTTGCCGAAGTAAAACCAAGTTCATGATTATTTCCAAGCAACATACAGTAGGAAGGCTAGATATCGAGGGAAAACAAGTAGAAAGAGTAAATAACTACAAATATCTGGGAACCTGAGTAAATGAAAACAATGACCAAGGTTGAGATATAAGGACACGCATTGAAATTGCAAGATAAGCATTTATAAAAATGAAAACAATGTTTGTCAATCGAGACCTTCCTCTGGATCTGAGGATAAGAGCCTTAAGAGGCTACGTGTTCTCGACTTTGTTGTGTTGAATGGAAAGCTGGACACTAAAAGTGGATAATATAAAGAAGTTGGAATCATTTGAGATGTGGTGCTATAGAAGGATTTTGAAAATACCATGGACCCAACGAGTTAGAAATGCAGAAGTGTTAAGAAGGCTACAAAAGGATTGCGAGGTCATAAAGCACATCAAAACAAGAAAGCTGGAATATTTAGGCCACATTACCAGAGATGCGGAATTTAAGATATTAAGGCTCATAATGCAAGGTAAAGTCAAGGGTAAAAGATCCATAGGAAGACGAAGAATTTGCTGGCTGAGAAACCTAAGAGAGTGGTATAGTTGCAGCTCAGTAGATCTTTTTAGAGCAGCCGCCAATAAGGTACGGATAGCTGTGATGATAGCCAACCTCCGATAGGAGAAGGAACTACAAGAAGAAGAAAAAACACAAGTTTTCAGTGTTTTATTGTTAGATAAAATTAATTTCCATCAAGTAACGGTCCAATCCATCACGTATTTGTATCATTATATCAAGTGTCTAAAATAGCCAATTTTTTGACGAACTAAGTCTAAAACAATATATATTTCTTATCAAACATCAATTTCGAGTTTTTGTTGAAGTTTGCTACTTTTCTTTCACTTAAAAAATGAAAAAAGTACTTGGGCCAGATTTAATAAAAGAACTGTGATTGATATCTGCCTTTTATTTGTAAAAAAAATAATTACATGTTAAAATGTATCAGAGGAGTCAGTTTACAAACATAACAGACTTCATTGGAGTTTAGAAACATAAAAACCTCTAGTTAATGCACTCAGTAATAAATTAAGTTTTATAAATTCTATAATTTTATTTTAAAATAAATATGTGTAGATTAAACATCTATTATATTCTTTGCAGGAACATTACTTCATATTACTGAAGCGAATGATCACAGGGAGGATAATAACAAATCGCCCGTATTAGAAATGTTCCCTCCCAATTCTGAGACATTTATGCTAGAACAAACAAATCAAGAGTTTAAATTAGCACCAACACCTGCTCAGCTTGGTAAAGCTCCTTTACAGAGAAGGCAGACAATGGGTATGTATAGTTTTCATATTGTCATGTGTAGTTTTTCCAACTCATTTTTACTGACTTTTACCCTTACTTTGTGTATCAAACAAAACAAATATTTCTATAGAACCAGTTGCTTCGATTTAAAATTACATGTACGTATTATAATTGTTAACAGCTGCTTTTGGAAACAAGGATGGCCAAGGAGACCAAGATCTTTTACCAGCTCCAGCAAATCCTATACTCGATGAAAATATTGATTTAATATCTCCATCGACAAAAAAGACGTTCTTTAAGAGATCAGTGGAGGATGGCATGGATAGGTATTTTTAAATACATTTTAAGTAATATTTTTATCTCTCTAAAAGTTTATTTTACAGGGTTCTGGAGCAAGTAAATTTTGAACAAAAATTTACGGCCTTGCCTCAGTTCAAACCAGATGAAGGTCAGTCACCAAGTGCTATTTCCATACCGAGTCCAGGTGTCTTCTATAATAAGAAGAGATCACAATTAACTGCCACGCATGGAGTTACCATAGAAGAAGAATCAGAAGCTGAAACACCACAAAGTATTCCAAAATCTGCCGCTTCCACTAAGTTAGTTATAGGAAATCAATTTTTTGGACCAGATTTCGATAATGTTAGGGGTAAGTTTTGATTACAAAATCCACTACTTCCACTTTTGATAATTGTTTTTATTTATTTATCTCAACAGGCCTTGGAGGTCTAGGGTTTTGAGTTATTTATACAATTTGCAATTAAACATTATTTAATATAGTGAAGATTTCAAATGTTATAACTTAGTAGACTTAAGTATGCATAATTTTCATAATGTAATAATAGAAAAAAATTGGAAAAACAAAATTTCCTGACAAATGAAGGAAATATCGACGAAATATGATAACGAATAGAGAAGTATCAAATATTTAGAGAGACGAAGCGAAAAACAAATATCTAGAGCAGAAAGCGTCAGTTCCTGAACAACAAAATATTGAAAATATTTGCCCATTACAAAGACAAAAAAATAAAAATTTTGGGGAAATACTAAAAGGAAAATACAACGACAGAAGAAGAAGAAGAAATAACATCAAGAAAATGAAATTACAAAACTAAAAAACAGCAAAAGTGATAAACGCTGACATATAAGTTATAACGAATATGTTGCCTACCACATAGGCTATTATTATAGGGGGTTGAAAGTTTTTGACATAAATTATTGGGGTGGAGATAGGGCAAGTAAAATAAAACGAAACTTTTGCGAACGGCTACTCTGTTTATTTGGAGAACTGGGTCGTGGATAAGTGAATGATAAGGGGACTGGACTGGGGTAACTACAAAAACTTAACAGCATAGGTACTTACAGGAACCTCCTGGACAAACAAAACACAAGAAGGTTCTCAAGCTATATAAAATAAGGGCGCCGCTTTGAAGGATCTTCCTGTTGGATGAAAGAAAAGGCTTTTCCTTCCTAAAAACACAAAAAGGGGTTACAAACAAAGAAAACAAATTGGTTTAGGGAAAAAATTAAATATTTATTATTGTCTTACCACAAACAGTTACAAAAGTAAATAGTACAAAAATACTGTATCAATAGTTACAAAAATAAATACAAAATAGGAGAGAAAGACACTTACTATTTTTTACCTGTTTAAAAACTCTAGAAGTTGGAGATGCTACAAGAACTTACAATTGTTACTGGGCGATAATTTGTAGCAGAAATAAATTATTACAAATTAAAAAATATATTTTTAAATGAAACTATGCATAGAGGTTAACCTTTTTCTAAAAAAAAACAAAGCACAACAAGATTTTTAATTATTACAATTTCTTATACTCTTATGAAAGCAATTATTATTAGAAAATGTTTATTTCTCCTTTAAAAATCAACACAAAAGAGTTACCTGCATTTCACTAACCACGCAAAAAACTGTATCTATAGTCTGGAATGACGACCAGGGACAAACTGAGGATGGAAGCTGTTCACTGGGACGCAAATTTTAGACTCGGCTGCTTAAAAAACTGGAACACATGTGGTTATCAAAAAAAAATTTGTTAAAATCCTTTATAAAAGGTATATAAAATTGCCTCAAACGGGCTATCACAAACACATTGCAAAACGTTTTCGGATTAAACAATCCATCATCAGTGCAAACGGTTGTACATGCTAGTAGCCACCAAAATATATGGGTAAAAACCCCTTAAAAGTTATAAATTTGAAATTATTTTACATTATTAGTGTTTATAATTTGTGATGGTTAAGTTACCGTTGGATAGGTGGTTATCCTTCAAAGTTGTTGTAAACGCCGTTTTATAAATATCTCAGATGAGAGACAGCATAGAAAATAAAAAAGTGGCTACTCTTATCAGAATTGACACATTACATTGAGTATAAATCACTTTTTCACAACAAATTTGCCGGTTCTTTCGGACTAAACACACTGGGCCTGTTCTCAATTACTTGTCTTCCATACCTCCATAACTGCACATAAAACTTCACCACTGCTACTATAATACGCATTTTCCCATGATAAAAGGCAAAAAACGAAAAAACATTACAAATTTGAAGAAAAATTTGGACTATAACTGAAACCAACTGCCCCTGACAGCGGCCTCAGCGAGAGTCCTGTAATTATCTTTAAAATTCATTCGCCCAACTTGGTATAAACAAAACATTAAAACGGAAAGATCTATTTAACGCACAATAGTAGGCGGCTTAACGATCAAAGAATACCGAGGAAATGTGCATCTGTGATATATAAACAAACTTTAAAAATGTGTTTATCAACTCGTCGACGCAAAAAGGATTGAAAGAATATTTCGGTGTGTTAATACGTACGATAGGAAACAGAAATACATTGAAAATATACTTCGGTGTTTTACTAACATATACGGGGTGATTTCAATACATACGAAAGAAATTAAGAATGCTACAATATCCCCAGCGTAATGCTACAATACCCGTAAGAGCGAAAACTGGACAGACAGGAACCGTTTTCGTTTAGGACAAACAGAATCCAAGTTGGAACAACAGTAGCAAAACAAACAAAAATCATAACCAAAACCTACTTGTCATAACTGTCTAAGCTTTGTTATGGTTATCCACTAGGTAGACCAAAATAGCATCAAACAATATGAAAGTTGACTATGGCAGTCAAACAATGATTTTTCAACTACTTGTTGAAAATCGAACTAACACAAACAGGAGACAAAAATATGGCCAATGGTTCCAAGGAATATCCTCCGGGATCGATCACAGCGAAATTTCCAAGACAGGAAACTCAAAAACGGACAAAAGAAGAAAATAAAATCCAAAATGTTAATACACAATCTTGGAAAAGAAGAAGAAGAAGGAAAGGGGGCACATGGCATACAAGCCACATCGATACACAAATAGTTCAGTCTCAAACTAATATTTCCAAAAGAAACCAAAAATCATAACAGTCTTCCAAAGAAACAAAAAAGTTACGACAGTCCTACAAAAGGAACAGAAACATCAATAGAATAATTAAAAAAACATTACAGTCCGTCGACAATAATCAAACGTTCAACTTAGTACACAAATTTCAAACTCAATGGTCAAAATCTATACAAATAAACTGAAACAGACCCCACAACAACTAAATGTGGATTTAGAGAGGAGAGATCAGATATTAGCCAGATCTTCGTTCCAAGACAAAGAGAAAGGTTGTGTACACAATATACCTTTATACGTGGCCTAGATAGACTTCAGACATGCCTATAGCACAATAAGTATAAGGCAACTGCTGAGAGCGAGGGAAAGCCTGAAGATTCCGAGAAAACTAATAAATATGGTAAAAATAATAATAATAAGGTACTGTGATGAAGATTAGGTATGACTGTAAGCTTTCAGACAATTTTGAAACAAAACTAGACCAGCGAACTAACGATTTTCCCATGACACTCGTTGATACAGGTATCTTACAACTGCTTTTGTTAACTTTTGTGGTAACAATATGTAATAAACAAAATTTGAAAAAGTTTAAACGTCATTTTTTACTTAATACATAATATAAACAATGTAAGATCGCTATTGAGTTTAAAAACTAAAGGGTGAATTATACGGAAAAGTTATAGAAAATCTTTTAAAATGAGGGTTTGTAAAGTTATTTTTGATAATTGTTTGCTTAATTATTGCAAAAATAGCTTCAAAAGTTGATTTTTTGAAAACTATTAGTTACTTTTCTAAAAATGCACAAAAAACTTTGATTTCGCGTGAGAATAAGAAAAATATCACAAATATTTAGCTTTAAAAATTTTAAGAAGTTTCACTTAATAGTTATTGCAAAACTTAATAGATCGCGGCTAAACCGCGATCTATTCTAAGTCCGTAGGAGCCTCAAAATGAATCCCACCCCAAACCATTGGGGTGGGATTCATTTTGAGGTCCCTACGGTGTTACATTGTGCGTAGCGTTCCCCAGGCGTTCTACACACTCGGTTTCTCCTGTCATCAGAAAAAAGACAGTACTTGGATTCATCGGTGAACAATATTCTTCGCTAATCGTCATTATTCCAATCAACATGTTCACGAGCAAAATGCAATCTTTGTCTTCTATGGTCTCTGGTCAATAATGGGCCTATTGGTGCCTTTCCAGGGTGTATGTCGTTTTCGGCAAGTCTTCTTCTAATCGTATTTTGGCTGATTCTTAAGTTATAACGATTCAAAAATTCATTTTGTCGAGAAGTACTGGTAACAAACCTTTGTCTCAGTGTACAAAGTGTCAAAAACTGGTCTTAATTAGGAGTTGTAACACTCTACGGCCTTGACCGGGTTTTCTCGAGTTATTTCCAGTAACAGAAAAACGTGTTAACACTCTTGAAATGGTTGACTGGGTGACGTTAAAACGTTCAGCGAGTTTTACTTGAGTGTATCCTTCGCGCAGAGTAACGATTCTAAAACGTCACTTTTTGACAAATTTCGATTTTCTTGCTGCTGGTGGTTTATTTTAAACTGCTGGCGGTAAGAATAATATATTAGCACAAAAATCGAAACATTAAAATTATTTGATTTACCAGCGTTAATTTTGAGCTGCAGTGTATTATTTATAACTATAAAACATAAATATTTAAGTAACCTATCATTTCATAACATTTTCTCCTAATGGTAAGAGAACAGTAAAATTTTAAAAAATAAATATTTATTTTAAATTTTGAAACAAATTACTCGGTTAAATAAACAATTCACAAATTAACTAATTTAATTTTTATAATATATGCAACGAGATACCGCAAATAAAACAAACATCAATTTTTGTTGATTGGAACCGGAGATATTGCGACTTTTATAAATTTGAATTTATGAATTTAGTTTTTTAAAGGGTAAAATCGAGAAATAAAAAAGGGCTAACTCGGGTTCTAAGAGTCATAGGGTATTTTTTTTTTAATTCGTATAAAAATGCCAACATTTCGAATAAAAAAAATTAACTTCCTATGTGTTGATGTGTCTGAGTTACTTTAAATGTTTGTAAGCTTAAAATTGCAGTACTTTTGTAAACCTATTTTACAATATGTGTATAAACTTTGATAAAATAAGCCTTTCTCTTCAATTTGGTGCTTTCAGAATTCATTTATATCCAATAGTTTACGTATAATAACGTTGTAGATAAAAGCTTTCTGGGATAAACATTTTGAATTTTACGGTAAGTGTTAAGTGAAACTTTTTGAAATTGTTATAGCTCAATACATGTGATATTGTCCCTATTATCAATATTATAAAGTTATTAATAATTTACAAAAAAATCGACTTGCAATAATTTACCGGACTTCAACTTGAATGAAAATTTAAATGAAATTTAAGCGTTAGTGATACTAAAACCTCTTAAAATATAACGTCACGATTACAAAATGAAAAAAATAAGAGGCAGGAGCATTATATTTATTTAATATTTTTAATACCTGGTCAATACATTACATACGTAGTCATCACTCTCGTGGTTATTCTTCTATCTGCCGGTTTCAAGTAAGCCTCGAGTTTAATATTACCCTAAGGTACTTTACGTCACTCGTCATATTTCGATCTTTTATTGACCAATTTTTGTTTCATGTTTCTTAATCAGTTAATAAAATACATATTGCTTGTTACTTTTTAACTGTACCACTATTTGTTTGTTTTAGCTGAATTGAATGAAATGGAAGAAGGTACATCCCCACGAACACCGCGAACGCCAGGGACGTCGAGAGATTCTGAAAAGGGTCATAGGAAAACTTTGGAACAACGTCGTCAATTAGTGATGCAGTTGTTTCATGAACAATCTTTTTTTCCTTCTTCCCAAGCAACCTCTACATTTCAAGCCCAACATTCGGATATATTTCCAAATAAAGCGAGTTTGCAATTAAAGATTCGCGAAGTGCGTCAAAAAATTATGGCACAAAATTCCCTTACACCCTCTAGTGTAAGTAGTCCCCTAACCCCCGCTGAACCTGTTAGAGTTTCATCAAATAGTTAGCTAGTAGTGTGCAATAGAGTGTCTTCCGTTTCATATGTTATTGTCAATTTGACTGAAAGTAGCACCTAAGTGTATAAAAGTGTGTTGTAGATATCGTAATTTAGTTATAGCTGTTGAAACTTTTGTTCGTGGATTTATAAAACCCAAAGTTATTTCAATCTTACAGTCGTTTACATATCGTATAGTGTAGATGATTTGTAATAACTAAATTTATGATCACTAGTAACTAATTTATTCTTACATGTATATTTAAAACGAGAAATGTAAAAACTAACAATTACTTATTATCTTGACAAGTATTACGTGTAAGAAATCAACTAATATCGTTCGTTTGTATATAAGCTTGCAATGTTCTCAAATATGATGTCCGCATCATAACATATTGTACAAATTTTTTTAGCACTCTCTGTAATTCGTGCTCGTTAGTATCGTCCTCCTTATTTTATGTTATATTTAATTGATTATATTTATTATTTTAGTGATTTAATTTATATGAGCGATGCTTTTGAAAACTGAGTTGTATACTGTATTTTCCTACTAAATTCGATTTTCCTTGCAAATCGCTGTTCAAATCTGTTAAAATTTGCTTAATTGCCTAAAGTGTAGACCCTCGTAACATTTTTTTAAAAGTGCTACTAATTCTTACGGTTTGTCATCTCGTACCAATGATCGTAAAAAAAAGAAAATAAAAAACTTTTAAAAAAGGGACAGGTAACATTTTAAAGACCAAGTCTTGAATCTATCAAATAAAACAATAACTTTTTGACAAAATTCCATTTTAGTCATCAACATTGTTTCTTTCCAGGTTGGTTCAGTGTTTACAATGCATTTCCTTCAATTCTATACATTTTTTGAACAATGATTTTTATTTGGCTTCAACAAATCTCGCACAACAACTTGTTTTTGGTAAAACCAGTTGTTTCTTCATTCGTGGCCGGTTTTGCAGTTTTTCTTATTCATATCTAGTAGATCTTTGGATCTCATCTTCTCAGATTCTTCTACAAAAGCCTTCGAATATTTGAGACCCATTTGCTCGTACCAGTAATTAAGTTTCATCTGTTCTTGCTCGTACCCAGTCCGATATTGTTCTTTTGACTGAGCTTCTTGCTATGCCAATCATAAAGAGAATTTGGTAGTGAATTTTTAAATACGCATCCTATATCTAGAAAAGCGTGACTAATTTTCTGAACTACTTCGTCTAGTGCTGTTTCTATTAATTTTCCTTCTTGATATGCATGCTTGTTGCCATCGAGAGGACGATCTCTCAATAGCCCCTCCTTAATATGTCTATCAAGAATGTTTTCTATTGCATTCAACACAAATGATGTAAGACTGATCGGTCTGTAGGATTCATGTAGGACGTCTATTTTGTGTATGTATACCACCCTTACAGTTGTCCTAAAGTCTTTGGTATATAATCAGGAAATATTCCATCCTTCTATAATGTTTTTATTAGTCCTAATTTATTGTCTTTATTCTAATTTATTGTGTTTATTCTAATTTATTAAAACTCACGATAATTTATCAAAAGTCTATATTTTATACTAATTTATTTTACACTTAATAATTACAAATAATTTATTTGCGTTCGATACAATTTTAACCCGATATCCGCGATCTTCTTGTTGACTAACTCTCCTCAATGAGAATCGCCGTTATTTATTTGAAACGCCGTTATCTGGAAGGATCTGGCGTGAAGTAGACGGAAGTTGACCTGAATAGTCTCGAACTGTTTTTTTTTTTATAGCCGCCTATTTCCAGAAAGATCGAGTAGTAGTTGACCGCTTTCATATCGAAGGGGGACCCATAGTGTCAGGTAGGTTTTTTTTACCTGCGTCTCGGCCGGTGCGTGATCTAGAAAATACGTGATTAGTCATAATGTACCTATTTACAGTTTTATACGCAATAATATTTAAAATCGTAACACTTCCCTGGAGATTTAAACGGAGCATAGTGGTTTATGACTTTACATATTCCGGTGTTATGTTTATTGCAGAGAATTCTCAGTCTTCTTTCTTAGTACGTTTCTTCTCATCGATAATGGTTGATCCTGGGAAGTGGTTCTATAGTAAGAGATCTAGCGTTTACTTTTTAGATTCGGCAAAGGCGCGATTAGGTTTTTTATGTAGGTCTGGTCAGATCCCTGGAAAGAATCTTGTGGATTCTAGTGCTAGCAGGTGAAATACTTTGGTAGAACCTCTTCTCTAAGATTCCCTTTTCGCTCTGCTTATGTTTCTGTTGCATTTAGTAATAGTTTTCCTACTTTTCTGCTCGGCCATGTCGTTTGTCTGTTATTCGTGTTGGTTTTAATTGGGCAGTTATCCCGGTGTGATATGAGAATTCCTTCTCTGATTTGATCATTCCCAGTTCGATTTGAATATCTAAGCATGCTTTAATGATAATAATTGTATTTCCTATCTTTGCTTACAAATCGGTTCAATATACTTCCCAATTTGTGTGGTTCTGATTTTTTTTGTTGATAAAGGTAGGTTCATTACCTTTATTATTAAATATGAGCTCTTCTCCTAGAATATAGTTAAAAAGGTACTCATCTTTTGCTTTCCCATACCACGTGATGTGAGTTGGCATCACAGCCGATGATGACTTGTCTCATTCAGTTACTTTTCGAATCGTCATAGGAGGATGTCTGTTGCTGCTGTATCACCTGGGAAGTATGCAGAGCTTACGACTATGTCTCGTCTGCCGCTTCGTCTCATATAGTGATTTGAGCTACAAACACATCTTCCGTGCAGAAACATTAGAGTAACATGTGATTAATACCTTTCCCAAGTACAATACAACGGCAAAGAATATGGTTTATGGCAATATATAACGCCAGAACATTGATGGAGGACGAAAAACTTGAGGAACTTCTGAAGCATATAAAATGGGATATATTTGGATTATCTGAAGTACGGCGAAAAAAGAAGAACACATCGTCGGAAAATCTATTTCACTATAAAGGAGAATTTTCTAATGGTGGCGTCGGATTTATGATAAATAAAAACACACGAAGAATATATTTACAATTAAAAGCATAAATGATAGTTATTTATCTTATCTACAAAGTAAATGAAAAAAATCGATTAAAGATCATCCAGGTATACGCACCTACCAGTGCCCAAACAGACGAAGAAGTTGAATGGTTCTACGATGACGTTAACACTGCGCTAAAAGAGGTAATCACCAAAAATACCATACTGATGGGAGACCTAAACGCAAAAATAGGCTACAAGCAGGAGTTTGATTCGGAGTTTGTACTTGGACCTCACGGATATGGCGACAGAAACGAAAGGGGTCAAACTCTTATAGAATTTCTTCTGAAACACAGACTATATGTAATGAACACCTATTTTAAAAAAATCCCCAAAGAAAGTGTATTTGGCAATCACCAAATGGCTTGAACAAGAACGAAATTTACTTTATCTTTACTAACAAAAAAGACGCTGTTCAAGACGTAACTGTATTAAATCAATGTTCAACCGGAAGTGACCATAGAATGGTTAGAGCGAAGGTAGTCTTGAACGTAAATAAGAAACGAAAAAATGTGGTAACAGGGACTAAAAATGTTACTTTCACTGCTATTACTAACACAAGGGCATACCAGGAAGAAATAGATAGAAACCTTCAGAATTACGTGCAAAATGTAACCGATATTGCACAACTTAACGAAAGGTTGGTGGAGGCTCTAAGGAAGGCACAGAAGAACTGTCATAATAAGCAAACAAGGAAAAATGAAACATAAGGCACAAGAAACCTACTGCAAAAAAGAAGGGAAATGAGAGATAAGCACACAGTGAACATCGCAGAGCTAAGGAATTTAAATAAAACCATTTCAAAAGCTGTTAGGAAAGACTTAAGGGATTTTAACACTAAAGAAATAACTATCATCTCTCCTAAGCTATTCACCGCTTTGTTGCAGAGTGCTACGAGAAACAATAATTGGGAAAATATTGGAGTCAACATAAATGTAGAGTTTCTGAACAACTTGAGATTTGCAGACGACATACTCCTTATTGCAAAACCGGGTAGATCATGCCTGCCAGCTTCTTCAAGACCTTCAGAGCTCGTAAATATCTGGGCCACGAGATTAAATTAGGAAGAGACAATCAAACAACGGAGCTAAACAGGAGAATAGGACTGGCATGGGTGGCTTACGGAAAACTGAGAGAAGTCTTTAGATCAGATATTCCCATGTACTTGAAAAGGAAGGTCTTTGATCAATGTGTACTCCCAGTTCTAACGTATGGAGCAGAAACATTGAACCTTACCAGAAAAGCAATCAATAAAAGACAAGTGGCACAGAGAGCGATGGAGAGGTCAATGCTGAATATATCCCTCAGAGACAGAGTATCAAATACAATAGTTAGGAGAAAAACTGGTGTTTCTGACGCAGTTCAAAGAATTACAACATTGAAATGGAACTGGGCGGGGCATGTTGCCAGATTAAAAGATAGAAGGTGGACGAAGAAATTGCTGGAATGGAGACCTAGACACGATGCTTATCGTAATCGAGGACGTCCTCCAACAAGGTGGTCAAATGACATCAAGCGCATTCAGCACAACTGGATTCAGGGGGCTCAAGATATAATGCATTGGAATTATTTACGGAAGGCCTATGTTCAGCAGTGAACTCAAAACGGCTGATGATTATAAGTACAATACACGTTCAGAGTTTTATTCCGTTTGAGCAATACAGTACCTTTGTTGAGACGAATTCTAGCCCGCCAGTTTGACCTGTCCCAAGTCCCCGTAACCCAAGCCTCCTGGATTAGTGCTACATTTGTAGCTTCATTTGCGAATCTTGTATTAATGCTATATGAAGTAGCCTTGACATTTTAAAAATTCGCCTCTATGAATTCATTCATCTGGTAGGTTCTTTCCTTCAAGACACTTTAGTAGAGCTATCTTTATCGGCTCCACTTTTACCCTTTTTGTCTCTAGGAGACAATTTGACCAAGGTAATCATGAACAATGTACCCCGAGTATCTGCAAAATAC